GCACCACCGGCATATCACATATCCCCATCGACGTGCTCACACTCATCATCCCGATAGTGATTTCCGTCGCAGAGCTCGCGTACTGTTTACTGGGCTGGAAGATCTACACCGAATTCGGCTGGAAGGTGTACAAGTACATCGGCGCGGACCGACGCATCAAGACGATGTACGCTCAGTACCAGATCTTCCTCTGCCTCGTCAAGTTCGACCTGTTCTTCTGGGTCGGCTTCTCTGTGCAGTTCATATGGCTGGTCCTGAACGCCCACGACGCGGAATACTATCTGACTTGTGCGGCCCTCCCTCTATCACTCATTGTCCTCATCGAAGGCCACCTTGCGGCGCGGCACGAGAACAAACTCATGATGTGGTCCTTCATGGGTGGTTGTATCGCCGCATTGGTTTACTTCGTATACAAGGTTCGTTTTACGCGTTTTTCCCGCTTTATCTCCGTTGCTAAATGACGATTGCACTAGCTTGTCAAGGTTCTTCGATTCAAGGATACCGATCCGACATTTGAGGCAGTATGGGGAACTCTGACAACATTCTGTACGTCACGCAGTTCGGTCTTGGGTTTGAACTGGAGGCTGACAACCGTGCAGCTGTTCTGGCCATAATATTGCTAATAGCGACATTCATCGTTGCCTGCCTTGTGATGCAAAACTTCGGACGGGGCTTGAAGACGCAGAGTACGTCTTGTCATTCGTCTTGATTTCATCATGACGCTCATGTGTTTGACAGTGTCGAAGAACACAGTCATGCAGCGCGGCAAGTCTATGCAAATCCACCGAGGACCCATGGCAACACATCCAAACCGCATGAGCATTGAATAAAGACTTGTCGTTGCTGCTTGACCCACGGACTTGTATTCCTGACTGTACTATTGTCTCACCACCATCCTGACTCAGAAGATTACAATGCATCACCATACGGACTCATTATTCCCTATATTCGCCTATTCGCTTCTCCAAGGCCGATCCTGGTACGCAAGTGGAGGTTGCCAGACAGCCCTCTTGCCACGGGCTCGGTCGTCCATTCCATACCTTAGCTCGATTGTATTGCTGGTTTCATACTCTTGGGCGTACTGTCTCTACACTTCTGGATCTCCTTGACATGTCGCATACTACTTCATGGTCTTACATCTTGTGGTACCGTAGTCTTTGGTCTACAGCTTCACCTCACGATTCATCCATCACTTGTCGCGCTTCAAGTGCTGATCTGCTTTTCATTCGTCGAAGCCCGTCAGAATGTATCTCTAACCTTATGCACTAATGAGTAATGTTGGATGTTTACGCACAGTATCCTCGACAGGCGCACACGAATGAGTACGCTTGGGGGTTCCCGCACACCGTCAGTTCAGCTGGGGAGGCTTAGTGCTAGTCTCGCAGCTATCGCTCTACGCTGCCTTTGTCCTAGCCTGGCACCTGAAATGCTAATCGAAAGGACATCACACGATCCGACACGACGTGTCTTGTGCGGAAACCTCCATCGACGTGGCGGAAGCGGAGCTCACAGGCGCCTCTCGCTGTCTCGCCGCCGTGCACCTTTCCCCACACCTACACTCGCTCGCTCATCGCACACCCTTTCCCCTCGTATAATTTGATGTCCCTCGGACGCAGCAGGCCTGCACACTAGCTCGACTACGTTTCATTCAGTCAACATGTCCCAAAGGTCCGTCCCCGCCTCGCTCTGTCGTTGCTCCCGCACTCACCGGCGACCGCGTCCCCGCAGGTTCCGAGCTCCCAATGCAGACAGTGCGCTGCACAACCGCGCGGCGCTGCTGGGTGCGCACGACTACTACAGCACGCCGCCGTCGTCTGGGCGCTCGTCGCCGTTCGGCGGCGCAGGCGGCAGCGGTAGCGGGTACCGCGAGAACCCATACGGCGCGGGTCAGCGGTTCGCAGACGACCTCGAAGGGCAGAACGACGAGGCCCTCGAGGGCCTCACGGCCAAGGTGAAGATACTCAAGGATGTGAGTGAGTCTGCTGGCTGTTCTGGCAAGCGGAGGATGGCGTGGCTAAGCGGACGTGCAGATCACGATTGGTATCGGCCAGGAAGTGCGGGACTCGACGGTGCAGCTCAGTCAAATGGTGCGTCTCTCCGCGCTCTGCTGCTACGCCCGAACGTTCAGGCTGTGTTCCGTTTTGCGCACAGAACGACGCCTTTGCGGAGACGTCTGGCATCCTCAAGGGCACGTTCCGGCGAATGAACAACATGGCGTCACGCCAGGGCTGCCGATGGTTGTGGTACATCGTCTTCCTAGTCCTGGTTTTCTGGTTCTTCATCGTCGTGTGGTGGTTTCGGCGATAGTTTCCAGGCACTCTCCTGCGCCCTCGTCTCGCAAGCAAGACGGTTTTGTACGCGGCGACTTCTTATGTCTCTATCTTTTGGAAAACGGACTTGTTTCCCTAATGTTTGTCTCACTGCCCATACCTCGCTCTGTTTGTCGCTATCTCGGTTCCCCGACCAATTCAAGCCTTCGCGGACACACTTCACACAGAGAGTGACCGAGAGGATGTTGTCCCAGCTGGACAACACAAGAATCTTTGTTCCAAGGCCAAAAACGCAGAGATGAGACAGAGAAAATGGAGGAAACCAAGAGTACAGGTACAGTGAGACCAGAAGACTTGCAGACCGAGGGCACAGAAGTATGTACGGATAAAGTAATGTACAACGGTGGAGACCGTTGAAGTCACGAAAAGATGCCGGGGCAGATGATGAGGACAAAACCGAGACCGAATGTGTGGATGATAAATAGAGTGAGATGGATGGCGGGGAGGAGCAAAATAGTCGACTAGATGTCGGTCCGAAGTTTTGCGTGTCCGATCTCCCATATCATCCGCCGACGGAGGTAGTGCATATTCGACTGGGTGAACGCGAACCTCTCCTCTCCTCGGGCCAAAGTCTCGAGGAACTGGCAGGTGAAGACGCCACAATCGTAGCCGTTCTCCTGCTGTGGTGTGTCGTCGAGAGTCCAGTCGACCCAGCCGGTGAAGTCGAACGGCTTCTTCTTTTTGTTCCGGTGCTCGGCATCGAGGTACCCACGCAGGAGCTTGAACACCTGCGCCCGGTCCATGTTCATGCTGTCGTAGCTTTCGATGCGCTTCTTGCGGAAGTTGATCGCCGCGCCTGTCCAGTGCGAGTTGTTGTGGTTCACAGGGATGAGAATGACATCCTTTGAGAACAGGTCGAACTGCGCCACACAAAGGAACGTTAGCCACTGAGCTCCACCATCAAGCAAACGCAGGAAAATACCTTCTTTGTCCACTTCGCTAGCCTTGCCTTCTCGTAACCCTCATTCTTCAACTTCGACCAGAAGAACGTGCTGAAATAGTGCACATCCAACATGCTCTCTCGCTGATTCTCTTTGCCCTCCTCTGCACGACACAAGATCATTTGCCCGTAGAAGTTGATGATCTCGTCGTTGAGCCATTGGCCCGGACGCAACCGCTGCAGGTCCTTGTCGCTGACCTGTTCGCGCACGCACTTGCTGATGACACCGCGCTTGCGCAGGAGCTCGTCAACCTTCGCCTCGTCTTCTGGCGGGAGTGTCTCAGGCAGAGACGGGCGCTTGGGTCGTATGCGCGAGTCGATCTGCTCGGAGACTTTCGCTTGTGTGGCGCGTAACCGTGAGAGCGAGGGGGTAGACACGACCGGCTTGGGGGTAAGCAATGATTTTTCCGCGTCCCTGAGAGCACGCTGAATGTACGTCGTGGACGCAATAGGATTTGATGGAGTTCGCGATAGCGAAGGCGTGGGTTCAGCGTCGCGTAGGTCCTCGAGGGAAGGTGAAGCTAAATGCATGGTCAACACCGACGTCCATCCCGAGTCCGCGACGTGCTTACGAGCAAGAGTCTCCAATTTCTGCAGTACTTCCAACCGTTCTCGATATCCCAACCATCCTCGAAACTCCTTCAGTGATGACTGGAATCCAGCTGATGCAACGTCAGCTTCGGCGCACAACATGGATGAAAGTGCATACACCCACTCGTCCGTTTTCTCAGGTTGTAGAGATCGCGTTCCATCTCTTCTCGTGTCTTCTTCAGCTGATCCTTCACGCTAGCCTTGAACTGGCTGTGGAATATGTGCTGGCGATGCTTGATTTTCCGCGGCACCTTGACCTTGGACTGGCGCACAATCGCAGCATCAATAGCATCGTTGATCTGGGGGTAGAGTCCCAAGATGTTGGTCGTAGGGCTTAGGGACGAAGCGGAGGTGTTACTTGGGGGTGGTGTGGGCAGCGGCGGGACGCGGGTGAGCTCATCAGGCTGAGCAGCGCTGTTGCTCAAGCTATGCAACGGCTGTCTTGATGTCGACGCGTCGGAAGCGGCAGCCTGGCGACGTAGTGGCGGCGCTGCCGGCACGAATTTCACTGTCAAGCGCGGCTTGCTCGGACCCGCTTCGTTGGAGGCTGGTACAGCTGATGCTTCGCTCGAAGACGTTGAAGGAGGTGGTGACGGCAGAGTATTGCAGGGCTCGATGACGGTATCACCAGAGCCTGAAGGCTTCAATGTGGCCGTTTTCGAGGGCGACGGCGTTGAAGAGATAGGATATGATGGGTGGTGGCCGGGAACCTGTGACGGTTTCGCCAGCTGCTGCTGAGGCTGTGTCGAGTTTTCGCGTTCGTCTCCAAAGAAGAGAGAGGCTGCGTTGGTGAGTGCGTTGAAGATAACGACGCCCGTGTCCTGGAAGAGGCCCATTGCTTCCTTGCCGACTCTTATCCAGCGGGCAGAGAGTTCGCCTGGGAGTGGTGATGTGCGGGGCTGCTTTGGGGCGTATACTGGTAGCAGCTCGTCTTCTGCGCGTCGTTTACGCGGGTTGTGTGGGGGCATGAGGTTGGGCTGGTGGTATGAAAGTACTACCACGAGGCGAGGGCGTCGACTGGGAGGACTAGCAGATTGACTTGGTCGCCGTTGAGAACAAACGAAGGCCACCTTCCCTCTTCGGTCCGCCTCCGCTTAGGCGCCTATGGTTCATCGGGTTTAGGCTCAGCGCTCAGATATGCTTCCTTGGCTCAGTCGGTAGAGCGTAGGTCTCATACGCGAGTATGATCACTCATGGAGTGAATATTATCCTAAGGTCGTGAGTTCAAGCCTCACAGGGAGCATCCTTTTTGATTTATTGCACCTTCGTAACTATCTAGACGTGTAGCCGCGACGATTCTGAGCAGGGGAGTCTTTTTAACGGAGCGAAACGATGGTGTTTTGACTAGGAAGAGGCGCCTCTAGTTTAAGCGCCCGCGAGGCCAGTGGTCCTGGTCGCTGGCAATAAAGCCAAACATGCGCTCACTGAGTCGCCCAGAAATTCAGAAACTAGCTACTATAGCCATCAGCTGCCCTATCAACATTGCGAAGAGGTCTGTAACTATACACCGAGAGCTTTGTTTTGATTTCGGCTCTCGAAGTGACTTGCCGCGCAAACGACTCCCATGGGCGTACCTGTTGGCAATGCACTGGCTTTCGCGTGCGGCCTAGTAAGCACTGCGCATGTAGTGGTGGACCTGCTAATACGGCACCAAACGCTATCGGACACATACAATGTCTGACTGCATGATACGAGCGGCCGTTATGAATGTCATGTTTTGTGTCGGTTCTCGAAGGACGCGCACTCCGGTTCTGTCTATGATGTTTATTCCTTGTTGCATTTACATCGGACGTGGTACAACAACAAGTAGTCAGGTATGCACCACAAGTACTTGTATGTGAGAAACAGGTGGCAGTAAACTGGAACGTAAGGTAAAAATACAAATCACCGGACACTGGCAGGACGCCAGACATCGAGGCAGAAGTGGAACACTTGTCTACAGTGAAGCCGCGGCGGGCGAAACGCATGAATGACCCTGACTGCAAGCCGACAACAGAAGGAGAAAAATGTGGACGGCAAGAAGAATTGAAAAGGCAAGGGTAGGGTAGAGGATAAGTAGGATGCGGTGGGGTATATGAGTGAGAATGGAAAATGAAGACCCGAGATGCAGGAATCCAACATTGGCTTTTTGTCTAGTCTACAGTGCCTGGCGTAAGGTAGGTGGGATGGCGTGGAAGCGAGGAAGGTCGGCGAGAGAAGGGCAAGGCATATGCGAATGATGATAGGGCGGTAGACGCGAGGGGGTTCGAGGTAGACGCGTCGGCAGGGGCGGGACGAAGACGATGGTGAGAGTAGCGGCGAGAGCGCATGTGTCGAAGACCGTGGTGCGCGAGAACGAGGCACGCCGCGAGCTTGACAACGCGGGGATGACACGCGGTAGACGTCATGATCCTCTGAGACTCTTCGAGACTGATGAACGTAGCGGCGCGCTGGGCAGCCTTAATAATCACCATCTCCTGCGAATGCGCCGCACCACGCGTCCTCCGCCCTGAACCCGGGGCGCAGCGGCCCAGCTGCGCCTGATCCTGCCCTGCCCGCGCAGCCCGCGCTCAGTCCTGGCGGCCGAGCTCAGCCTGCGTGAGGTGGAGCACGAACTCGGACTTGAAGTTCTTTGGCGGCTCGATGATCTTGGTTGTTTTCCGCGGAGAGGTAGGTGATAGCGGCGAGTGCGCCTGGGCAATGCTCGGGAACGGTCGTAATGGGCGCGAGGTGGGGAAGTGCACGGGCGTGATGGAGAGGTTGCGTTTTGGTTGCGGCCGTGCAGGCAGGAGTGCGGGGCCGTCGAGCGACACGGGGCGGGCGAGCGGAGAAGAGACGGAGGGACGGGATGCGAGAGTGGCTGGGGAAAAGATGTCTTGTGAGCGGGGCTGGCGAGGACTGCAGCCGACGCTACTCACCCATTTCGTCAGAGCGTTAGCGAGATAATCTAGACTCGAGAATGAGCGTGGTGGGCGTTGGGAGTGGTACGAGGAGACGGGAAGGAACGACAGGTAGGAATGTGTTGGGGAGGGATTTATAGCAGACTCGAACAGACCTCTCAACTCTTGGGGATGCCCGGCGCCTAAAGGGCAGCCGCTTCCGGATCGAAGTCGACAAGTCCGACGTGTAGCGTCTTCGCCCGACACATTCAGCCATCCTCGACCCCGTCCCTAGCGACCCGTTCTCTGCCTTGCTCTGCGCTGTGCCCGCCAAATTCCCCAAGCTCGCTCGACCAGGTACAAGCTCGCCGCGCGACCCAGCGTACCCCTCGGTCCAACACCCGTTAACGTTTCATACCGGGGTTAGCGAGCACTCCGTTGGCCTCCTCACGTCCACGCGCGGCGCCCTTCTTCCTGCTCTCCACCTTTGGGGACACCTTCCCATTTAGTTGACCAGAACGCTGCCTCCTATCATTCCCCATAGCTTCTCCTATCACCCCTGCCTTCAGCTCTTTGACACGTCCTTTACGTCCTTATCGCGATAGCGACCTCCATTGCGTCTTTAGCTTTGGTCGCCGCCCACATCCATTCCGAAGCCATGCTATATACACCGTAGCCCCTCGGTCTTCGACGGGCATGCACCGATCGCTGGCTTACCTCGGGTAGCACTTACGCACAACAGCAAGGCTGCCTCGCCAGGGCTGCATACCAGCTGCCGTGAACAATGAAGACCGAAGAGCTACTGGTGAGCGCGCGATTACTCCATGTTCTGCCTGTTTCAACTGAGCCAACGGCGTATGTCAAGGCATCTAGGGTGAAGCCGGTGCGCAGATGCATGGTGGGTGCATGGCGGGTGACGAATCTCCGTGTCTCATCTACCCACAACGTGCGGGTCGGTCTATGTGCCTGCGCGGGCGGATGTGCCTCCCGCCTACCAGTGCAAATACGTCCCATTTGCTGCCTCTCGTCTCGTCGCGTTGCCGGAGGACCTTCGCTCATGCTTGCGGCTGTTCTCGCCGCAATGTCCCAAAGGCCATATCGACGAGGACAGCCATCAGTCCTATTGAGTTACATGTCCTCTGTCCGCGCGCAAGGCACCATTCCAACATCCCCAGCTTCATGCTCTCAAACCTTGCTATGTCCTCGCACCCGACTCCGCACATACCCACGCCAACATACTCGCGCAATGAAGTCACACGGCGGCGGCTCTCCACAATTGCCCTCACGTACATAGCACTCACATCAAGAAGGCGAGCGAGCGGCGGGCGTCCCAGCTCATGTGGGGATTTGCGCTGATAGCCTTTCCGCCGGAGATGAACGCAGGCCCAGCGATCTCCTCGATCTGCCCAGGAGGACGGCAGACGCGAGTTGCCTGCATTGGGAACTCGCGTGGATATACACCTGGCAGCCTAGAGCGAGCCCACGCGGGCCCGCGGGCCTCCTTCCGGCGGGGTGGCATACCCAACGCGGGATCGCCAGTGGGCAGCGGCACGAGCCGCGCGCTGCTCACCGGATCCTGGCTGTCCACCAGAATGGGCGCGATCTCGTGCTGAGGCCCGAGGACCGTAATAGCGCTGCCGGGGTCTTCAGTCGCCGCTTATACCAGCGTTGGCGCGGCATGGGTCTATTTCAGACCGTTGGGGATATTGTGAGGTACGCGCCTGCGATCTTGTGCATGTATGTGCAAGGCTGAGCTTCATTCACTTAGCTATTTTCCGCCTGCACTGCACCGTTGTGTCCAGGCGTTACCAGGCAACAGATGAGCATTTCAAGGCTCGTGCACATTTTTGCTTGCTTGCCCTTCCGTTCAGCTGTGCTACACCGCCAGAGTCTACTAGCCAATCACGTACCTCCGCAAGAATACCTGGACACCTAAGGCCGATATGAACACGCTCATACGTCAGCCATCCCTACTGGACAACCTCTCGCGCGCTGCATCTTTCGACCCATTTGGTACACACCTTCACCGATAGAACCCCGCCTTCGAGACACGACAACCTGCCTCCGCACAAGCCCGAGCGTCTGGGCTTCCAGCCTGTATTGCACTCTCCTGTCTGGTCACCACTGCTGCCGTCCTCGAAGCCCAAGCTTCCACACGGCGCCCTCCAACAGCACCAGACGAGGACCCGCCGGCTACGAATGTCTTCCTCCGCGAGCCCGCCGCGCGCGACACGCCGCAGCGTTCGGCCCCGACGTTCAAGGAGCCCGGAGCGCGCCCGGCGTACGTGTCGACGGGCATGCGGCCGCGGAGAGGCCCGCCCGTCCCCGGCGGAACCGAGCATGCCGGACACGAAGACTTCGCGAAGCCCAGAAGGTGGAGCGCACGTCGAGCGTGGCCGGCCATGACGTGCGGCTGCCGCACAGGCATGCTTCGCCCAAGTGGCGGACATCGCGACGGAGGCACCGCTTTCGGAGGGCAGAGTCGTTGTGCGGAGGTCTAGACTGGGTCTATTGGCTGTGTGCTACGGACATGAATGCAATGTGCGTCACCAGAGCCAAAGGCTGCGCAGATGGAAACAGGGACGGATGTAGGATGCAAGGTATGGGTGCCCATTGCAGGCTTCAATTGGGACGATACGACGTGAAACATGCCAGGTACTCGAACACTACGTACGAGGTCATGAGGCCGTCTTGTGCAAGAGAACGGTAGCAACTGCCAATCGTAAGAAAGGTGAAGGAGTAGGGAACAGCGGTGACGAAGATAAGGAGGAATGAAAATATAACGATGAACACGATGCTGGGAAGGCAGATGAAACTCTATGTACAGTCAATGATCCAGCAACTAGATGAAGAGACAAGAATCCATGTGAGTAGTTAGACGGATCGGGTCAAGAAGAAAAGGGATAGAACCGAGACCGGGAGCGGTGCAAGCACCATGAGACACCATCCGTTGCAGTGGTTCGAGTGCGACGGGGAGGTGACTTCTGTATCGGCTCGATGCAGGACAGCGGGAATGAATATCGCGTCCTGCGACTGGTGAGCTGGAAGGAGATAGTGACGATACGGAGAAGAGCGGCGCAGTGCGGAAGACCGCGGGGATGTCGGCAATAGTACATATGGTACAGGGACATCGTACTTGATGTCTTGTCTTCGAGGGCTCGGCTGGCGGAGGGGAGGTGGGTGGCGGTGGCGAAGAGTACAGGTGGCGAGCCGATGATGTACAGAGGTTGGAGTGATGAGAAACCTAGCGGGAAGGGGGCATTAATGGGAAGACAGGACGGCTGTTACCGGCGACGATAAGGCTTCGATGCTCCAGACGCCATCGTGCGTAATTGATACGCATGTATGCGTGCATACAGGCGGTCCGTTGGGCGGTTTGAAATCC